CCCTCCTCGTCCCCCAACATCCTCAACCCCCTAACCAAAAACCCAAACAAGTACTTGTTCGGCATGCACCCACCTCAAATCAATCGACTAGTAAATATAACAAACTCAAACAGATAACCCCACTGAAGAAAACCTAAAAAAGAAACTCACTTGGACATTTCATCAAACACCTACAACCCCTATCTCCTCCTCCCCTCCTCAACCTCCCTTTCCCATGGACATCCCACTCCTCATAATCCCTCCCAACCACCTTTGCCCCTCCTCGTCCCCCAACCTCCTCAACCCCCTAACCAAAAATCCAAACAAGTACTCGTTCCATCGTTCGGCACGCACCCATCTCTCTTCATCAACCCATAAAACTCCTTCACCTCCCTTTCCCTTCCCTCCCCCACCAGCGCCTTCAGTAACCTCATGGGCCCCCTCAAATCCTCCCCCTTCACCCCTCCCATTCCCCTCAACTCCCCTAACCCCCCCTTCAAGAACCTGTCAATCTCGCCGTTGAGGTTGCTGTTGTTGTTGGTTCTTGACAGAGAGTTGAGGATGCCGGTGTAGAGGGAGAAGAGAGAAGAGAGAAGAGAGAAGAGATCGGCGATCATTTGTGGCTGCTTGTAGCCGGTTTCCAGGGAGAGACGAGGGCATTTACGGGAGTTTTGCCAAAATACGCACAACGTATGTATAAATGAGGGCTAAAGGGGCTGGACCACACAAGAAACACATTTTTGGGGCTGAAGCCCAAGGGGAATAATTGGTGGGTCTGGGCCACTTCAAAGTCTCCATTTTGGGGCCTAGACACAATTTTCCCAAATTAAAATGCCAGTTAGTTTTGTTCCCAATTCAATGAATTCGTACACAACACTTTTTAGGATATCATTCACGACATGTCCTTTCTCATAGGTTCTGTCCTCTCCCCTTGATTTTTCTGTTCCCGATCCTTCTATATAGGAGTTCAGCTGCAAGCCTGGCACGTGTATGACTTCAGACTCGTCAGAGTGGATTAGTGACTTAGAAGTGGTATCAAATCCCCATGAATTATAGCCTTATATAAAAGGAACGAAAAGACCACAATCAAGTTGGCAGTGATAATAAGATGGAGCAGATCAGTTAGATTATAACATGCTGAATAAAATGAAATAAATGTAATTTAGTTAACTATACTAAGACATGTCTTAAATGCATGAAACTACTACTATTTGCCTAGCTGTTGCTCACTAAGGGACGGCTTCCATATCGGAACTTTCTCTATTATATTTATTCCGATTCGAAACAGACTTCATATGGTCCATGAATTGCAATTACTTTTATTTACTTGCTCAACGTATGCACATGGCCAAGCGCGATGCTAATAATGCTTGACATTGCACGTTCCTCATCCAACCTTACTTCGCCACAATGCCGTGGTCATGTACGCATCATAGCGTGGGATAAGGAGTATCATTCTTCCTTGCGGCAACTATGCTTTTGTATGAAAGAGGTGTATAGAATGTGGATAAATACTGGGGTGACTGCATTTAAAGACTGAGATTGTGTATTAGCCAAAAAATTATGATAATGCATATTGTAGATCATATGAATAAAAATGGTAGGGATGATTTGAACGCTAACTGCTTACGCAGAAGAAAGTTGATACATTTACCCCATATTGTGTTGCCCATGGACTCTCACATCTGGCCTCTCTCTAGGCCATGTGATCGAGCCTATCCACAAAGAGCTTCCAAAATCACTTTGTAAATTTACGCTATGGAGGGCATGATACAATTAAATTACCGCCATGCTACCTCATTATTCTCATAAAATGCGTAAAAGAGATTAACCGATATCAACCTTGATGGTGCCATCGATATCGCGCCACGGTAGTAAGATATAAGAGTTCTCAAATGAATCGACACATTACTTGTTTAATGTGTTAAAAATTAACTGTGTTGACCTGAGAACATAACTAATAAAGATTCCAAACCTCGTTCAACCACTTAACTATAGAAAAATTATGGAAATTTAACAATTGTATTTAAGCATAACGTTTAAGTCATAAAAGTATAAGTTAACGATATTAATATGAAACGGGTATTTTAACTTATCGTAATCGATGAAAGCTATACATTTTAAATAGGCTTAAACGGTTAGCATTAAATGGGTATATTAATTCATGATAAACTGGAAAATGTAACTACGTAACTAATTGAAAGCTAACATGTACCTAGCATACGTGATTGCAGAAATGACTAACGCTTACTGATGGGTCTTTTTTGATTGGCAAAATCTCAGAGATCTCTGTTCCTCTATACTGGTGGGAGCTTTGATAATAGCGTGTTGAGGTACTTAAAGTTGTGAGATAGGTTCGCTTATAACTTATTCAAATCAAACTGTATGCTAAATCATCATGTTAGCGAATATCGCTCGTGTCAGTCAACTTCAAATTATGGAGTCTCGGCTCCTCTCTGATTTCCTACTTCCCCAAAAAGATCCAATGCATTCATGCAGGCTTAAATAGAACCTTGATTTTTTTCCGCCCGTCTTTCCTCCTTGGTGGTGGTGATATGTGTGAATTAGTCTCTTCGATTGGAACTGTCCTTTCTTCTGTTCTTGATGAATGGGTGTGGCGGACTTCAGTTGTGACTGAGCTGTCCGCTTCTCGGTTAGCTTTTTGGTCCCGGCTAGTCCCCTTGATCGCTAAGTCTCTTCATTCCCTTCTGATAAGGCTTTGCACTGTTTTCCATCCTCTCAATGCCTGTTCTTCATCCAGTTTCTGCCTGCAGCACATTTCTCCCTGCCCTCTCTTGGTTTTCGCACCGACTTTTGTCTTCATCTTTCTCTTCCAGTGTTTTTCCTCTTCCAGAACTTTCCCATCTTTCTTCATCTTCTCTGCGTCTCAGCAAATTCTCGCCCCTCTTGTTTTTAAGTTCCGACTTTTCTTCATCTTGGCTTCTTTCGCTTTTTCCCTTCCTCTTTCCATCCTTTCTTGCATCTTTCTTTCATCCTCAGTGCACATCCCCCTCCTGTTCTCTTACAGCGCACTATTTCTTATCTTTCTTGCTGTATGTTTTTCCTCGTAGTCCACTTTCTCTCTCTTCTCTTCATTCTCGTCTCTGCTCTCGCCTTCCTCTTTCTCTCTATCCACAGTCACTTCGCTCTTCTTATCCTCTCTCACTCTTCCGTATCAGCTTTCTCCCCAAATTATATCCTCCATCGTCTTGTCCAATTTCACGGCTTTTCTCTAACTGCGCTTCTCTGGCTTGTCCTTGCGAATTATTGTGTTAACTCGTGCTCGTCAATATTCGAGCAAATTCCATCATCCACCTTTTTCACTCTTTTTTTGCACCTGTCCTCAGAATTCAATACTCCTCCTTATTTGCCATTTTTGTGCAGACCTCTATGATGCCCCCTCTTTTCTGTGACATAATCTCCCGTTCACATTCTTCTTCAGGTTCTTCGGGGTCAATCTAAAGTCTGCGGTCTCCGTTTTTTTCCATACCCTTCCAAGTTCTTGTTCCAGCCTATGTATCTCGCTTAGAGCATTCTTGCCATTGAAGGCGCTTAACACGCTTGACAGCTGTGGAGGGCAGTTTCCCAATTAATTTTGGCCGTATTCCGCCAAACTGAATTTGATGCTTCGTTGTCAATTTTCTCTAATTTCATCTTTCATCACTCTCAAAAGCATCTCTAATCGATGCTGCCAAAATCTGAAAAGTAAACCATATACCTGTACCCATATGTATCCCAATATTAAAAAATAGTTATGAGAAATCCACAATTGTAATTTCTATACCCAAAATATGTTAACATGAAACAATGAGTACATGGAAAATTAAGCTAATGATCAAAGATAGAAAATTAACTCATTGGTAATATGCAAGAATGTTAAAGATCATTGATGCTTATCGTAACCTAGATTGAGCTCCTTGTCCTGCACTTCACTTATCTTGCTTCCATTCCTTTACCTTTTCTTCCTCAATTCTTTTCTTTCTCACCCTACAGTTGGCTCCAAAACCTTACTCCTATATGAGACAATTGGGCTTCTTTTTTTCCCAAAGCGAGGCGATTTCAAAATCTTCTCCTGCTAGCTCTCCCGTTGAGGGTATTTTTCACCTGAGGGTATTTTTCACCCCCATTCAATGCTGGTGTAAGTTGGTCTCGTCCTGATTTTAAATCTTGCCTTTCTTGGCCTTAGAGACAATTGTCTCCATCCCAACGGATCCGCTAATTCCCTCCAACTCTTACCCAATTGGTCATCGAGGCTCCATCCTCAAGTTTAGGGCTGGTTTTTAATGCCAATCATCTCAATAGTACCATATGCTGTCAGATATGCGAAGGAACGAATATCCATAAATAGTTAACTTTCAGAACTCCAAATTCTTTCAATACTACACTCTAAATAGTCTACCTTCACCAAAACATGTTATACATTAATGGTACATGTTACTTCACAACTATTAATTTAACGTTTAATAAATTATATGTTAAAGTTCAGATAACATGTTAACTTTCAACCTATAATGTTAACCTTTAATTTTTCTATATGTTAAAAGTTCATGTTAACATGTTTAATTTTTAACCATATTCTGTAAACATTAATATTGTACATGTTTCTAAAGCTGTTACAAAGACTAAATTTAACTAAAAAATGTCAAAAAGCCCAGTTGGCATGCAACTTCCGGATGAGCGGCCAATCAATCCCAGGTTCGATTTAACCATACACCCACTTGATGTATACGTATGGGCTTTTGGGTCTGGGCCACAATTTTCACAATTTTTTGGGGCTGAAGGCTAAGGCAGTTAATTGGGGGGCCTGGGCCACATCCGCTTTTTTGTTTTGGGGCCTTGAAACATTTTTCCCTATTAAATTAGTAAACAACGTGGACAAAAGTCCGTTTTCTTTCTTCTTTCCGAAGGATCGATGCGGGCATTAGAAGCAATGATGAGATCCTGACCCACATCCACACGGCTCCACGCGCGTGACTACCCACTCCCTCACGTGCTTCTTAACCCCCACTCTCTGCTTTCTTCTCTGATGATGATTCTCTTTCTCCTTTCTATGACCGGGCCTTTGAGAGCGGAGGGAAACGAAACGAAAGAGAGAAGAATCTCGAAGGGAGAGCTCCGCTCTCTGTCTTCATCTCATTAAATTATATAGATCAATTTCAATCGATTTCAGCGATTAATAATGGAACAGTTCGTGAATTTCATCATTCGGCCTCCGAGGTATGAAGCTCGATTCTTGTATTCTTTCCTTTTCTCCCCCCTCCATATTTTTAGCATTTTTGCTGGTTAGGGTTTTGTTTGGTAACAGACAGCAGAGAGGATGTTGCAATTTTGATAAGATATGGTGCTGTTTATGTTCTACTTGAAGATTGATGGGTTTGTTGTGTGTAAAGATTGTTAATTTTCTAAGTTATGGCATGAATGGAATTGAGATAGTTCAAAGATTGGGATTGGGGATGGGGATAGAAGAGGAAGAATGTGAGCATGTTCTCTCTATCTCACATTTTGGTGTTTGCAACCATCATAAATTTTCACAGCTGAAATTTAGGTTAGATAGTTCCTTTTGACATGTTTGTGGAAATAGTTTCACGACACTTGAAAACATGTATGCACATGTGTACATAGGTGCATTCGTTGTAAATTATTCACGTACGAGGGAAATTCTAGCGACGGAAGGATGTTCCTAGTGGAACTTCCCTCCGTTAATTTTGGTTAACTTGAATTAATATAACTACACATGGTTAAATGTAGTAGTTAGAAGAAAACCATCGATATGAAAAAAAAAAAGAAAAATTCACTATGTGACAAACTACAGTGTTCTTAGATGATTAAAACTAATATTTTATCTAGCCAATTTTATCAAACCTTAATCACCCTTTTCCCTATGATACGGGATGGATGGATCCACATGTCTTTTGCTGGTTAAGTTGGTTTTAGTTAAATTAAGTAAGCTAAACACCACACCAGTCCTCTTCGGTTGCATTTAGCTTATTGTCGTCGTGGTTGCTTTATATCTAGTTTTTTTTTTGCCATTCGGAAGTAGAAATGTAGAGCTTCCATGCTATCATCCTGATCTCAGCCTGTCTAAAGAAACAATGGGGAGAGGGGGGGTGGGGGCGTTGGGGATGTGTTCATAAACTGGTAAGTAGTTGCTCTATATTCATAATTAAAATATTTACAGACTCTTTTACACCAATCACAAGCATATCAGTTAACGGTAAAGAAATCGCTTAAATATTTCCTCCCAATTTATGACTTTGTCTTTTCTTGTTTTTCCAAACCTTCTTAAGTGTCCACTTTCTTTTTTCTTCAAATCTCTTCTCCCTCCCCCTTCCTCTCTATATCATTTTGAAATGGTATGTTACTTTTTTGCATGCAGAGCTGATTATAGTGTGAAAAATGATTTGTTGGATCAAGAGTTTATGTTAAAGGGACGGTGGTACGAGAGAAAAGACTTGGAGGTAATATCAATATTTTAGTGTCTAAATGTTGTTCCACGTACTACTAATAGTTACCTTTAAACTTCAGCACTGAAATACTTGGTAAACTAGTTTATTTTATAGTTTATGTTTATTTGTTGTACAGGTCTTCCATGTGAGGGTAAAACACTTATACGATGGAGTATGAAAAGATAGGTATTACAAGTAGAAATACTTACTGAATAGGCATGGGCATGGGTTGGTTCGAACCGCGGGCCGAACTTGCCAAGCCCGCCTTGAGACAAGACCTGATCCACAGTTGGCGGGGCCCAACCTAGCCCGTGATATACTTGAGCCGTGGACGGGGCTGGGTTTGACTCTAAACCCATGGACAAAGAAGCAGGCTCATGCCCGGCCCGACCCGACCCGTGGCTAAGTTGATCAGGTCTAATCTGGCCAACCCGGCCCATGGTTGAGTTGGTCAGGCCTAATCTGGCCAACCTAGGGTAATAGTCATATTTTTCTCAGAAAATTCCAGGCCAACTCAATAATATTCTTAAAAATAACTAAACCAAACCCAATTTATTTTATGATAGCCTAACACAACAATCAGCTCATCCCATTAAAAACACTCAAATTATTGTGAATCTTTTCTCCTTTGAGATAACTTCATCACCAATTGTAAAGTTATAGGGTTTAGACTTTGAGAAAGGTAAAATATAGGTTTCTCTCTTTAAATTATACATATTAATCTAACAAAAATTTTGAAAAGAAAAACATTGAAAAGAAAATAATTTAATAGAAAAAAAAGAATGTGGGTTGGCCTACCTGTGACCTGAATCGTCATGGGCTGGGTCGTACTTGGCCTGACCCCATGCAGGTTGTGGGCAGGGCTGGGTCTAGTCCCAGACCTAAGGACAAAGTCTTGGGCTCAGCCCACCGAGGCCCGCTTGGGCCTGGGTCCGAACCAACATAGACCTGGAACCAGTCGGGCTGGTTCATGAGTCAGACCCATCCCGGCCCAGGCACACCCCTATTCTTGGGCAGTTCTCCAACAAATGCACAGCTCTGTTATCAATTCATGACTAAGAATGTAGTAGAGGCGTGATTGTGTTCCAATTGCAAGAAACTAGTTTGTTTGTAGCTAATTTAAGTTTCTCATATACTTATTTTTTGAAAAGTGGATACACATGTCAATTTAGACATGGATGGAGCTGATAGAAACATAAAGTGCCAGAGCTATAAAAATCAAAGTTGCTAGTGTTGCATAATTATGATGAATAAGGCACTTTATAATCGTCATGGTTATGAATAATCTGCTGCTGACTAAGATAATTATATTGATACATGAAAAGCATAAGAGAGGTACATAATCTTTAAACTAAGATAATTATATTGCTAATGTTGCATAATTATGATGAATAAGGCACTTCATAATCTTCATGGTTATGAATAATCTGCTGTTGACTATGATAATTATATTGATACATGAAAAACAAAAGAGAGGTACATAATCTTTAAACTATTCCTAAACCTGTATATATAGAGCTGCATGAATAATGATATGCATACCCAGATTCTGTGAAACTCATTACATTTTCTGTATTTCGTGTTGATTTTCAACAATTTTTGGTTTTCTGATTCGATATTGGCCACTCAAGTTCGATATGTTTGTAAAATTTAATGCATGTTTCGTAGCCTATATTTGTTTCAAAGGAGTTCAACATTCCAAATTAACTCTGAGTGACTTAATTTTATCAGCAGGTATCTTCTAGTAGAAGAAATTACTTTTCTTTGGAGATGTATAGTTTCAGTTTCTTAGTGTGAACTTTTTCCACATAACACCATATATTTTTTCTCAACTTTTAATAAATTCAGGTTTAGATTTGCTGGCTTATGGTTCATTATCTCACCTTTTATTGCATCTGTCAGATCTTAATGAACTAACTAATCATATAACTTTATACAGATCAGAAATAGTCAAGGGAATGTCCTGCAATGTAGCCATTATGTGCCTGCAGAGGTTCCAGAAGGGACAACCCTTCCTTGCGTTATATATTGTCATGGAAACAGGTATCGGAAAATTGTACGTAGGAAATTGCTCGTTCCCTTTGTTAAATCTATATATTGCTAGAGACTGGAAATATCTCAAGAGTCTCCTTTGCGGCATTCTTTGTATGTCTCGAACTTAAAAAGTGCATTAGGGGCATATGCATGATATTTCGTTTTCCTTGTTTCAGAGGCCTGGTTAAGGAATTTCAATGTGATTTTTTGTTTCCTCTTTTGTGATTGATGCACTATTTGACTTAGACGAATAGCTTGGGTACAAATAACTCATTGGGTTTACTTCTTCGTGAAATATCTATGTGTGTGAGTTTGCTGCTTACAGGTTTAAACTGACATGTGGGGTTCTGCCATTTGCAATGCTTATTAACTCTAGGATATCACGCAGTGCTGCATTGAACGAATACTTGGGTTTTCCCAGTGATCAGATTTGGTAGGTAAAATAATTTGAACCTCCCAGATGCTGGACGTACTTGATGCAACTTTTGCTACCAAAACTGATGAAGGTATTTAATTATATAATTATCATCATCATCATCTATTGAGCTGTTTCCTACCAAAATGCTATAGGTTCAAGTTCTGGGAAATATCTGACTGAGTTTCTCAACATGTTATCAAACTATTGTCAAGCCTCTGTATGTTGGTGGCAAATTCCTGCCCAAGATCACAATAAGCAAGACAACCTAGGACCAGTGTTATCAAAGGCGCACACCTCAGCGCGCCTTATGCGCCTTGCGATGTGGGGCAATGGCGAAGTGCGCCGCAGCTGATGCGGCAGTGCTTTTTTGCGCCTCGCAAGCGAGGGCGCTTCACACAGGGCACATGCAAGGCTAAGCGTTGTATATTTTTATCCCTTAACATTTTAATTGGATATTTATACCCCAATAATCGATATTCTAAAAAGCAAAATAAATCCATTAGAACTATTTGGTAACCTGATTGAGGAAATCTAAATGATCCTTGTTTACTATTTGATTTGCTTCGATATTATTATTGATTTGACTTTTGATTTGGAAACTTTTGAACATTACTACTAAGTTGTATGTGTTAGCATTATGAACTAATAACTTATTTTCTGGTTTGGTAGTAGATGTTATATATATCTACATAATTTTATGTGGAAATTTATAAACACGTTTGCTCCTGCGTGATTATCTATCTTGAATAATTATGTGTGTGCTGAGGACCTCGCTTCACACGGGCGCTCGCAATGTATTGCACCTTGCGCATGTGCGCGTAAAGTGACTTTGCGCCCCTCATTGCGCCTCGCGCATTGATAACACTGCCTAGGACCTTGATGACCACTAGGTTATTTTGCAGTACTACTCTTTTGATTTAGACTATGAGAGAGATACTTTTATTTCCTTTTCCTTACTAATTATAACATACTAAACTTATCTGGTTTCCCAAGGAGATATTTTATCTCTGGTGACTGCCTTTCAAATTGTCATGATGATTGATGGCAGTGGAAGTATTCTTATCTTGCACTAAATTTAATTATCCAGTTATCCCAGAAATACCTATGGATTCTGTATGCTCTTTTTCTTTTATAACATGCTGCATATTTATCTCAGTGGGTGCAGGGCTGATGCTAGCGAGGCTGCTATTATTTTGCTTCCATCAAACATCACCGTGTTCACCCTTGACTTTTCAGGGTCTGGACTCTCTGAAGGACAACATGTCACTTTAGGATGGAATGAAGTAAGTGTCTAGCCGATAAACCAACTTATGAATCAAAGTAGAGAACAAGGTGTGGAAGTTCCACCCTCTATACTTAGCAATTAAAAAAAAGGAATTTCACATGGTTTGTTTTTTGATTCCACGAATTCAACCTTACCAATGAAGTGGATTAACTTTTAAATAAGTCAAGTAACTAGGAGAATACGAAAGTTTGACATGCTAATCAGCCCTTTAATTAGAGAGAAACATTGACTACTAGTTTTAAGTAAGATTCTTATAGACACAATTCTTTTTCATTTCTTGCGTCCCTTTAAATTGGAAAAAGATTAAGCAACATTCCTTCATTCTAGAAAATGTCATGACAACCTTACATGCTTTAGGGTCTTTTATTATATGCCACCATGAAGACAAATTTCATGTAAAGACATGGATATAGATTTTAAGGGAAAAAAAGGGCTTGACTCCATATACCTGTGCTGTTGGTGTGTTACTCCAATGGGTACACAAGTTTTATGAACTTCCTTGCATGACCCTAAAAGGAAAAATCATTATTGGAGTTCTGGTGTCAAGCTTATTTGAAAGGTTATCTGTCCTTCATTATATCACGTGTGAGCCCCTAAAGGCATCTTGTTACACTTACACTTGAACCCTCGTTTGGACTTGAGACGCTTGGTTCTTTTTGTTTTGTTTTTTGTTTTTTTTTGTTTTTTTTTTTTTGTGGGGGGATTAGATCTTGGATATCGTCCTAGTTGAGTTATTCAGTTAGAACCCCTAGGTTTTGAGTTATTCAGTTAAAACCTTTCATTTTCAGTTCTTAACCTGCTGTATTTTAATTTGAAATTTCACATATCACATGCTAGCAGATATCATTTGATTTTAATGATTCAAAGTGTTCCACGGATTATATGGTCGTAGTTTCTAAGCAGGGAAATTTCCATAGGACCCTATATCTCAACCGTGCATTAATTTTATCTGATAGGATTATTTTCTCTTTTTCACCTTCAGAAAGATGATCTTAGAGATGTAGTCAATTACTTGCGGACAGAGGGAAATGTATCCTGCATTGGTCTGTGGGGGCGTTCCATGGGAGCTGTCACCAGGTTCTCTTCAGGAATTCTTCTGCACTTTATATGCTTCTTTTAAGCTATGTCCTTTTCTCTTCCTGAAACTGATGTCACTCCTATGTTTGTTTTGAGAACATTGAATCATAATTTGTCTTTTTATGCTTGCTTTCTTTATTACGTAGACAGAAATATGACATGTTTCATGTCCTTGTACATAAAAGTTGTGTCTGTAGATTCTGCCTATGAAACGTTGTACCTCATGATTTAGTGTTTTTCTTATGCTTTAAAATATTGTTTGTCATGCTTTAAGTACTTTTGAATCTTTCACTTGTTTTTCACAGTTTGATGTATGGAGCTGAAGATCCCTCCATTGCTGGAATGGTTCTTGATAGCCCATTCTCTAATTTAGTCGATTTGATGATGGAACTCGTGGATACCTACAAATACCCCTTACCAAAATTCACTGTAAGCAGAATTGGCAAATATCACTTTAAAAGTGAAGTTAAAGGTTTAAACAAGCGCCTTACCTTTTTTCTCTTCCCCCTCTGTTGTGACAGTTGTGCGGTGAAATCAGAGCTTTTCTTAAATATTTATTTTTTAAGCTTCCGATCTTTTATTTTTTTGCTAATAAAAGGAATAGTCTGTACATTTAGCAGTTCTACGGTGTTTCTCATGTACTTCATTTTTTTCCATCTGTACCATCATAGCATGCATAGTAACTATATGGTGGCTTTCATTCCCCCACCCCCACCCTTTCTATGCCCTGAGAACAATTCATAGTTGTGATATATACAACATTATCAGCTTTTCTTCTCCACTTCCCTTGTGTGTCTTGTACTGCTTGATATCATCTCCTATTATTTTGATCTCAATCTTGATGTATACATTCAATGCTACATCACTGTTTTTTATAGGTGAAGCTTGCAATTCAACACATGCGAAAGGTTATTAGGAAGAAGGCTAACTTTGACATTATGGATTTGGATACAATTAAGGTTCTATTTCATTTTGAGAATCTCCATGAAGCTTGAGTTTTTTTATATATTTTTGATTTTCTTTCTTTAGGGAAAAATTGGTTGCGGTCTGTAGAATCAACTGTGGACTATCTTTTTATATATGTAGATAAATTTTATGCATATGCATCTCCTGCGAAGACTTCAATAGTTTACTTTTTATTCAACTCCTCTTTCTTGCGTGAAGCTAGTTTGCTGTTTTTGGTTTCTTAGAACTATTTGTTTTATAGGAGTTTATTTTTTTTATAGGAGTCGTGATATTAGGATTCCACCTTTCAGTAGCTTGGCTTTGGAAATTCTGAATGTCAGTGGGCACAGTTCCTTTACAAAGTGTTTTTCCTCCTTGTGCTGTTCAACTTTGCTTTTTCTGCTGAATGGACTATGCTAGGTTGTTACCTATTATGGGTTGTGTTGATGTGCTTTGTAATTGTTATGCTACTTTTGGATAATCCTGTCAATATTTATGAAATTAGATGACTATCCGCTTAGAACCTAGTAGGCGATATATATATTGACTTGCCTGATAAAAAGACCAGTTGTTTTTTTCTTGTCCATTGTTTTGTTAGAGTATTATGTTATAACCCTCAACCCTTACCATAAACTTTAAGATGGTACCAGAGCATGGCAGAGACTTTAAGATTGTACTAGAGCAACACGTCTCAATTCCTACAGGCACGAATGTCAAGCATATTTCAAAAAAATTGATATCACTGCATCAGTCCAGGTTTTGGACCATAAAAGGGCGCTCAACCTGTGAGTGTCTGTTAGAATATAAAATTATAAACCTCAACTCTCACCACAAACTTCGAAATCTTGGTGTGTTGTTCTATAATATAAAATTATAACTCTCAACCCTCACCATATGCTTCTGAGTCTTGGTGCAGTGGAGAGGACTTGAAGAGTTTTCGTGTACTAAATCACTGAAAGATGACAAATCTCATGTTCTAATTTATCTCTGATTCTCTGATCATATAGATAAATGTTTTTCTCTTGTTATTACATATATAATTTGAGAACCATCTTTGGAATTTAATAACTAGTTATTATTCTTGTAATATTTATTCTTCTACTGATTTTGTACATTTTCATGTAGGTGGCGAAGTGTTCTTTTGTTCCAGTTTTACTTGGACACGCAACTGGTGATGACTTTATTCGTCCACACCATTCAGACCGCATATATGAATCTTATGTTGTAAGTTCGTGACATTTTCTTTGTAATCTGACTGGCTTTTCTTTTGCTCTTTTCTTGTTCCACAACCCTCTTACTTGCAAACCTCTTTTTATGTCTGGTCCTTCAATTGCATTCGGATATATACATATCAAGTTACTTTTGTCACTTCTTGTTTGTGGCAATCTATGACCATCCAGTTAACTTCATGTATTCTAGTTGTTAAAATAAACGAGACTATATTATGTAGCGACATCTATTTTATGAAGCCTATTTTTAGAGACACAAGCTGAGGATTCATAGTCGGAAATCTTTAGATTGATGCTTGTTTTAGTGCTTCTATGTCTATATTCTCTTCTTTCCATCTTCCCTTAAGATGTCTTACACTTTGTTTACCTGCATTAACAACAACATCACAAACAATAACAACATAGCCATTATCCTAAAATTTTCAGGTCGGCTACATGTAACCATACATTTCTTTTAGCTCCGTTATGGCCTGTTTGGATAGAGGGTAGAGAGGGGGAGGGGAAGAGAAATCTAATTTTAACCTTGTTTGGGAGTTTCATTTAAGAGGGTAGAGGAGAGGATTTTTTTTTTTTTTTTTTTTGGGGGGGGGGGGGGCGCGAGGGGGTTTGAGCAAAAATATTACGCCCTAAATTGGGGTGTAATGAAGGGGAAGGGAAGGAAGGGGAACTTTTCCCCTTCCTTTCCTTCCCTAAGTCATCTCCCAAACACACTTTTTAAGGACCATCTCCTTTGTTATGTCCTTCTTAATTGTTTCTGACGTAGTTCTCTTTAAGCCTCCCTCTACTACTTCTTGCTCTGCTAGTTTTAATCTCATCCCTTCTCCTAAATGGTGTATTTAGTGGTTTCCATTGCACATGACCAAACCAGTCAATCGATTCTCTTTTATTTTATCCTCAATGGGAGCACCCTTGTAGGAAGTGTTGCACTTGTAGTTGTATATCCTATTAGGTGTATATTCATAATAGTCATAATATTCTCATTTTATTCCATTTAACTTCATATTCTTCATTTATTTTTTTATTTTAAAACTTGTTTTTTTGGAAAAAGTTTGTGGAAAGCGGCAGAATTGGATATCTTTTTTCACTGGGTATATTCTAGAGACACCTGGGCAGCAATATATGACCTATTCCATTGAACAGTGTCGCCACTCCTACTTCCATCTTTATCTATGATAAAAAAGTTTCTGATGAGTAAACTTATGACAACTTCAGGAATCAGCATAGTTAGAGGTGGAACTTCTTTTAGATCTGGATATGTTAATGGGGATGTGTCACATATATATTTCACTTTAGATTTGAATCAAACTCGATAGAAACTCGATAGCTAGTGGCATGATATCGAGCTGAAATTTTGATAGCAAATGGCAATTTTAAAAAATTTGTACAATTGTTACCCTTTTTTGAGACCTTTTGAAGATCTTTTTTTTTTTTTAAATTTTGACAGCAATCAGCACCAAAGTTGTCCTTAGTTTTTGTTGGAACTCCCTTGATACTTCACAATAAATGCATCTACCACAGCCAGACGGTCTGCCCAGTTTATTTCTCTAATCCTTTTGTTTGGATGGACATGTATGCATAACAATGAAATAGATTAACCCCCATAAATCTGGCCACATTATTTCTCTATTTTTCTTTTGTACATATAGATTGTGTTTATCTATGCCACCCATAGTATGAAATAGATTGCTGATAACATTTGAAAACTTCTTGACTCTGATACTTGGTAGAAATGTGAACTTGTAGGGGGACAAAAACATTATCAAATTTGAAGGAGATCATAATTCCCCTCGTCCACAGTTCTACTTTGATTCAATCACAATCTTCTTCCATAATGTACTCAGCCCTCCATCTGCTGAACAGTATGTCCATACTGTGGATGACTTCTTTGGCAAGGTAAAGAAAACTTTGATTTAAACCTTTGGTGTGACATGCTGATAATCTCACCCAAAAAAAGGTTCCACTTACCATCACTATTAGTCTTATTTTCTTTTGTTTTTTTCCATCCAAAGGATAGCTGGAATGGTGTTCATGAAAAAGAATATGGACATCATAGTCTTATTGGACCACCTCCAGGCAAGCACCTCTCTTTCTATTTAGTAATTTTAGCATAGCACTTTAGCTTGTGTTTTAATTTTTTGTTCTATATGCGCATCATGTTTGAAACGGATCACAGAACTTGCTTCAGGAAGCACGGAAGATGCCATCACTCAACTACGCTCTAGAAGACGTATGAGTCAAATGGAGGTAAGCAAAACTAAATCATGATGAAGTTAGGTATATCAGTCAAGAAAATAGCTCATGCCATGGTATCCTTTTCTAGCATTAACGTACACAATCAGTAACTTACGGTTTTAGTTATATTCCGTAATTTTAATCGTGGTGCTGTACAGTTTTTAGACTTTCTACAGGTGGGTAATTAGATGCGTTAGAATATAAAACTATAACCCTTGACCATCACCACAACTTTGGAGTTTTGGTGTAATGGTTAGGCACTTTAACATGGTATCAGAACAACCTAGATTTGAATCGCACCAGACATAAATGTAATGTAGATTTTAAAAATTTTGATATTGCTGTGTGAGTCCAGGTTTCAGCCTATTAAAAGGACGCTCAACTTGCAGGGGCATGTTAGAATACATAACTATAACCCTCTATTATCTATACAACTTCAGAGTTTTGGTGTAATGGATGGGGACTTAAACAAGATGCTTCAATGTGGATGTGCTTGCTATTTCATATATATTGATTCTTCAGGGTTCAGTTTCTAAGAATCACATGTTCTGAGATGGTGCACTTTGAAATCTCACTTTTTCATGTACTTTGTACCATTGCTAATTCTTGCCACCAAATGTGATACGTAACTCAGTTCAGAGAAAGGCGTGAACTAAGAAATTGAACTGTATACCTACTCAATACATAAGAAGTTGAATGTAATATGTTAGCACTGCTATGATTTAAGTTTAAAACCATTCCTGGAGAACATAACACTAAACATTACAGGAGTTACATGTCCTATCTGTCTAGGTTGTGCACAAACTTGAGATATGTATAATTGTAATGAAGGCCCTATAAGGTTCAGAGTTACCGAGTAGGCAAGTACCAAATATGATATCAGCTTTATCCATAGAAAAAAGATAAAGCCCAGTAGTCTTTGTTTACCTTTTAGATGTATTGCAATGTAATAGATGAACAACATTCATCTCAATGTTAGCAGCTTCTGCCTAAGTCGACCTTCTTTGTCATAAAAATCTATAGCTTCCAGTCTTGAGTTCTTGAGTCTAAATCAAATAAGTAAAATAAGATTTTCTTGTCGCTTCAGAGACATCGAATAACCATAGATTTTTGTACTAAAGATGGGACTGGTAAAGGTAAAAGTTGAAGGAACTAAAGGGTGAGGATTGTATGGTTAACTTGAAATTAGCGGGATGAGGCATATTTACTTGGTCTTTCGCCATTGGGATTGTTGTTATGAGCAGATTTTCTCTATCTAGAGTTGTCGGTGATAAAGTACGCACATTTTTCTTCATGTATATATG